GCAGGGAAAGGTAACTTGCTCAAGTTCACACAGCTAATTAGTGATGGAGCTGTGACTGCAATTTAGGAGGCCCTGCTAGGAACCCACCATAATAACCACCATGCCTCGCTGTCTCTGCAGCTTCTCCCCAGATGAGACAAATGCCTAAGCATGCTCACCTCACCCGATTCTTACACTTAACCTCCACTGTGTTTGTATTTAGATTAATTCTGGACTGCTTTGAATATGTATTTCCTTTCTCTTTGATTTTTGTAGAGTGAGGGTGCTTGCTTTTACAGACTACAGTAAAGTCCTCTGAGATACCTAGTCACCCTATTCCCAAATCTCTCACAGTGGCCTTGTGGCTTTATATCTCTTTGATGGAGAATTTCCTCCAAGAATATTTTTTTTCTTCCAGTTTTATTGAGATATAACTGACATATAATGTATTAGTTTAAGGTATACACCATCATGGCTTGATACATGTATATAATGCAAAATGATTACCAAATAAGTTAACATCCATCACCTCTTATAGTTGTAATTTTTTTCTTGCGGGGAGAATGTTTAAGATCTACTCTCTAAGCAAGTTTCAAATATACAATACAGTGTTGTTAACTATAGTCACAATGTATTCCATTTGTCTGCAGAACTTACTTATCTTGTAACTGGAAGTCTGTACCTTTTCCCTCATCTCCCAACCCTACCCCTGACAACCAATATGTTCTCCATTTCTGTGAGTTCAAATTTTTAAAATTCTACATATAAGTGAGATCATACAGTATTTGCTTTCTCTTATTTCATTTAACATAATGCCCTCAAAGTCCATCCATGTTATCATAAATTACAAGATTTTCCTTTCTTATGGTCATATAATATTTCAGTGTGTGTGTGTGTGTGTGTGTGTGCACCACATTTTCTTTATCCATTCATCTGTCAACAGACACTTAGGTTATTCCCACATCTTGACTATTGTAAATAATGTTGCACTGAACGTGGGGGTACATATATCTCTCTGAGATAGTGATTTTGTTTCCTTCAGATATATACCCAGAAGTGGAGTTGTTGGACCATATGGTAGTTCTATTTTTAATTGTGTGAGGAACCTCCATACTGTTTTCCAGTGGCTGCACCAATTTACACTCCCACCCACAGTGCACAACCCTTTTCTCCACATCCTCACTAACACTTGGTATCTCTTTGTCTTTTGGATGGCAGCCATTCTAATGGGTACATCATTGTGGTTTTGATTTGCATTTCCCTGATGATTAGTGATGTTGAGCACCATTTTATGTATCTTTGGCAATTTTTTTGGATGTCTTCTTTGGAAAAATGTCTACTCTGGTCCTCTGCCCATCTTTTAATTGGATTATGTGGTGGTTTTTTGTTTTGTTTGGGTTTTTTGTTTTGTTTTGTTTTGGCTATTGAGTTGTAGGAGTTCTTTTATATTTTGGATATTAACCCCTTACCAGATATATGACTTAAAGATACTTTCTCTCATTCCATAGGTTGCCTTTTCATTTTGTTAATGGTTTTTTTTGCCGTGCAGAAATTTTTTACTTTGATGTAATTCCACTTACTCATTTTTGCTTTTGTTTGTCTTTGTTTTGATATCAAATCCAAAAAAATCATTCCTAAGACCAATGTCAAGGAGATTACCCACTGTTTTCTTTTAGGAGTTTTATGGTTTCAGGTCTTATGTTCAAGTCTTCAATCCGTTTGAGTTGATTTTTGTGTATGGTGTGAGATAGTGGTCCAGTTTCATTCTTTTGCATGTGGATATCCAGTTTTCCCAGTGCCAATTATTGAAGAGACTGTCCTTTCCCCATTGTATACTTTTGATGCCTTTGTCATAAATCAAGTGATCAATATATGTGTTCAATAAACAGATATATGCATATTTATTTCTGGGATCTCTATTCTGTTCCATTGATCTATGCGTCTGTTTTTATGCCAGTACCATATTGTTTTGGTTACTATGGCTTTGTAATACAGTTTGAAATTAGGAAGTGTGATGCCGCCAGCTTTTTCTTTCTCAAGATTGCTTTGGCTCTTTGAGGGGACTTCTGTGGTTCCATACAAATTTTAGCATTGTTCTTTCTATTTCTGTGAAAAATGCTGTTGGAATTTTGATAAGGACTGTATTGAATCTATAGATTGCTTCATGTAGTATAGACATTTTAACAATATTAATTCTTCCAATCTGTGAACACATAATACATTTCCATTTATTTGTGTCTTAATTTCTTTCATCAGTGTCTTAGAGTTTTCAGTGTATAGATCTTCTACCTCCTTGATTAAACTTATTCCTAGGTATTTCATTCCTTTCAATGCAACTGTAAATGGGATTGTTATCTTAATTTCCCTTTCTGATAGTATGTTCTTAGTGTATAAAAGAGTATTTTCAGAGAAGGTTTTTTTTTTTTAAATAAAACTTACTAAGTTCTTGTATACATGAAAATATTTTTAACCTACTCTCATAATTAAGTGATACTATGGCTTGGTTAAAATCTTAGGGTTCAAAGTTCTTTTTCTTCAACATTTTGAACATTTATCTTAATTGTTTTCTTGCATTTAGTGTTGCCATTGAGAAGTCTGATATCAATTTAATTTTTCTTTACAGATGATTTACTCTGTCTTTCAAAGTTTTTAGGATTGTCTCTTGATCTATGATATCCTTAAATTTTACTATAATGTGTCTAAGTGTAAGTTTTTAAAAATTATTCTCTTTAGCACATAATGATGTATTTCAATATGAAGTTTTTCATCTGTAATTACTGGGAAATATTAAGTGATTATTTCTTCAAGTGCCTCTGTTTTTTTCCTTCCCCTTCAAAGTCCTACTACAGAGATACTGAAACTATTTCTGTCATGTCTTATATCATCCATGTCATCTTCCACCCCATTAACTGTTCTTCTCCTACATCTAGTTTGCTTATTCTATTAAAGCCATCTGCTGAGTTCTTTATTCCAGCAGTTATATTTTCACATGAAGCACTTGCAAATTATTTTTCTTCATAGGTGCCTTATCCCACTCCAATAGACTTCCTTTTTTAAAAAATCTCTTTCAGATACTTATTGTGCCTATTTTAAATTCATATTCTGGTCTCAGAATTTTGCTGTATCTAGCAAAGGTTATTCAGCTTGTTTTTCTTTTATACCAGTTATACATCTGTATATTTTATTAGCTTTTCAGATCCATCAACCTGTCTCTCACTCTGTGGTTTATCCAAGGTTTCTGTTCTGGAGAGGGAGATCATTTGTTTTCCAATTTTTAGAATTTCTTTGTAGGAGCTTGAGATATAAGCAACCAAATCTTCATGTTCTACCATAATCAATACTTCAGTGATAGTTATGTTGAATAGAATGAAAAAGTAGTAATTCACCTGAATTTTTCACTAAATGTTTCTCTTTCTCAGCGGTTTGTCAACTTCAATCTTAGATTCTTCTGAGTGGCCTCAACTTAATATCTTCTTTACAGTGCATCCTCTAAGCACTACTCCTTACAATAGCAGACTTCAAAACACTGAATTTAGGAAGATGGAAACAAGGAGACCACAAAAAAGAGAGCAAGCATAGAAGCAATGATTTCTATTCATTGGAAATTTCCATTTATTTTACTACCTACATTAACTAACTATGCCAGATAAGTAAAGAATGCCAATCTGTGTTTTCTAGAACCCCAAACTATCTCAAATTATGGTGCAATTATGTGTTTAGTTGCTAATTGTATATCTAACATTAATAGATACTTTTTAAAAGAAAATACTTAGACATCTACAGATCTACATGCAAATATTGGCTCGGTAGCTTACTATTTGTGTGACATTCGGAAAGTTAATTTCTTTAAGCCTTAGTTTTCTGCTCTATAGAGACATATTAGACACCTCCAAACACTGTAGTAAGAATTGAATTAGAAACTTTTAGACATATGACAAATAATAGTAGTGACAGAAATAATGATATAGTAGATAGATAATGTCTGGGGCATAGTCCTATTCAGGAAATTGTAGGTATGATTACGAAGCTCTTTATATTATTTTTTGATTGATAATTTAAGAGGTCTTCTAAAATGTTTAATCCCATAAATATTATGTAAATACATCTAGAATAATGTTATTTTCCTGTAGATATAAAAATAAAAGTATAACCCCAAAGAACTAGCAAAACACAAACCCAGCATTCTTCTGAACTTTGCAGGTCTGTAGTCTTTCTCCTGAATCAAATATGCATTTGAGTGCACGCTAATGCTGTGCTTATGGTATATTCAAGTTGCACGTTCCTCCACTACTATGTATTCCATGTTTTGTATTTTAAAATGGGGAGGTGCCTGGGTGGCTCAGTTGGTTAAGCAGCTGCCATCGGGCTCCTTGCTCCGGAGGAAGCCTCCTTCTCCCTCTCCCACTCCCCCTGCTTGTGTTCCCTCTCTTGCTGTGTCTCTCTCTGTCAAATAAATAAATAAAATCTTAAAAAAAAAATAAAATGGGAACAATTAATAATGAAAAATTGTTTGGAATTTTGAAAAAATTGGTTTATCAATGATTTTATTTCTCCTTCAATTTGTTAGTGCCCAAAACTGATCTGAAAAAACCTTAAGAGCATAAAGCAAAAGGAGAATATACTTTAAAAATAGTAATCTTTCAAAAGCCCAGAAATTATAAAAAAGGCACAAAACTTCCAACTTGTCAGGCTTTTCAACTAATAAATAAAACCAACCAAACCAAACTATGCACTTCAATATAGCTGTTCCATCTTTAATTTTTTATAATTTTTTAGATTGAAATTATTAAAAAAATAGAAAAAAGAAGAAAAACAAAGCAAAACAAACTTTATGACACTCTTCCTACCTTTCTTAGTGGTGGTTATTTCCAGTCCTATAAAATTTATTTTCTTCCCAAGCTTTTATGTTTGCAATTTTGAGGAAACCAATAGCAAAAATCACAGCAAATACAAAAAGCAGAAGGAATCCATTATTTGTATTTTTTTTCAGAACACATCATGCTTATATCTAGATTGAGTACCTTAGCCGGAAAGCCAGTTGAACCAGGACATCCCTTTTTCCTTAAGGTTGGTGTGTGAACTGGAGGAGGAGTACTGTCTACAATCTGAATCCAGGAGCAAAAAAGGAAATAAATGTCATGAAATACTCCATCTATTTCACACATCACTAAAAATAAATCAAAGTAAATAAAGCCAAGCAAGACATCAATAAGGCAAAAAATATCTCAATGAAGCTAAAATTCTCATAGTGTTGATAATTTAAATTTCAGCCTGCAATGTCTACAAATGAAATAGTTGTTCAAATAGCAAAAAAAAAATTTGGTCTGGAAATTTAAAAAGAAATGATTCAGAAAAGAGAATCCACAGAAGAAAACAAAAAAGTCACAGCATACAGCCTACATAAAAATGAGGATATTAATTTTGAAGTTCATCTGAAAATGCACATTAATTCTTAAAAGTATCTGATTTTTTAAAAAGGATTTAAAATCAAAATATTTAGAAGATTCTTTTAACTCCTAACTTCTATACACAGAATGTATGTTACACATATGGAACACAATTCAGTGGATTTGTGTGTGTGTCTGTGTGTGTATGTAGAAAGAGAGAGAGAGAGAGAGATTAGTGGGATTTTGTGCAGAAATTAATTTCCAAAGAAGGGAGTTAGACTATTTAGTATTATTGGAATTCAGAACTTAACATACAAATTCAAAAGTTAAAAGCCATATCTTTATAAGACATTAATGTAAGATATTTCTTTCAATGAAAGGAACCAGTGATTTTACTGGAAAAGAGACATCACTTGATTAGCAAAGTGTTAGAAAAAAGGCACAAAGAATTACTTCGTTTTAGGATGCTAAGCAAGCAAACAAGATGAAAAAGCTAGCTTTGAATAAAGTTATAGAATAGTCTAATATTAAGAGAAAAATAAATGATCTCTCTTTGCCTTTGTTACTATATATACAGAGTATTTTCTATGCCCTATAACCTTAAAAGACAATTGAATTGGGCTTCTCAGAGTTTTCTGCTTGTGAGTTTAGTTCTAATTTAAATTTACTTTAAATAGCTTGAAAAAGTTTTGAACCCAATTTATAAACTAATGTTTAAAAATGTAAACATGAGAGATTAAAGAGAGGAACACTGAAAACCTATATAAAAGTTAATAAAAAGCAATAGGAAACAAAATTGACATTATAATTTACACAGAAAGCCCAAGAGAAGTTTAGGAAAAAAGGAGTGAAGTAAGGGTGTTGGATACAAGATCAACAGAGTTCATGAAGACCATAAGAATATATATTTGGTAAAGATTCCATTCACTGTAGAAACAAAAACTTTAAGGTACCTAGGAACAAATGTAACAAGCAATATGAAGTAAATTCATAAAGAAATTAACAAAACTTTACTGAAAGATATAAAAGAATATCTAAATGATAATATGTATACCCTGTTCATAGATGGATAGACCCAATCACAAAGATGTCAATTCTCCTCAGATAAATCTATAAAATTCAATGCAATTTCAATCAAAGGCTCCACATGGAACCTGACAAACTGATTCTAAAAGTCATATGTAAAACTAAAGGGTCAAAAGGAAAAGGAAAAAGAATAAGGTGGGTGGGAGTGGCTGATTATACCAGGTGAATTATTTTAGGGTTATAGCAATTAAGACAATGTGATATTGATACAGGAATAGACAAAAAGAACAACAGAAGAGAAAAAAGAACCCCCAAACAGACCCATATATATAAAGCAGAGATTGTTTTACAAATCAATGGGGGAAATATAGTAGAGTTGGCTGTTCATATGAGATAAATAGATTTAGAACCCCATTTCACATAATATGTAACAATAAATTTCAGCTTAAGGTCCTAAACAGGTAAAATAAAAAATTTTTAACTTTTAGAAAAAAGTATGGAAGAAAATTTTTAAATGCTGCATAGGGAAGAACTGCTTTAGGAAGACATAAAAAACATAAAGTCATAAAGGAAATGATTGATATATATAAGCCTACTTTAAAATAAACATTGTTGCAAGACAAAAAGACACCAAATAAAATTTTAAAATAAGCCATGGACTGGAATAAAAGATTTGCAGTGCATATAGCCAGCTAAGGATTAGTACCCAGATTACATAAAGAACACTTACAAAAAATAGGAAAAATAATTCAGTAGAACAACAGACAAAAGACATAAACAGGCAAACCACCAGTGGTCAATAAACATAAAAAGATGCTGAATTAACACTTGAGATCAGAGAAATGCAAATTAAAAACAAAAAGGCCACTCCATACCCATCAAATTGGCAAAAGTTAATGTCTGACAGTACCAAGGGTTTGTGAGGATGTAGGAAAATGGGGAACTCTCACATATTGCTGGTGGGAGTGAAAACTGGTCCAACCACTGTAGAAAATAATTTGGCAAAATCTAGTTAAAGTTGAAAATGCATATACCACACAACCCAATAATTCAGCTTCCAGGTATATATATGCTAAACAAACTGCACATTTGCAAAACAGACAGCTACTAGGATGTTCACTTCAGCACTGATTGTAATAGCAAAAATCGGAAACAACCTAAGTATCTAACAACAGGAGAATGCATAAGTGGTTGGGGTATATTCATACAATGAAATATTATGTAACAGTTATAATGAATCAACTAAATGGACACGTATCTGTATGAGTCGAGCTCAAAAGCATAATGCTGAATGAAAGAAGTTACAGAAAGATAAAGCTTTATGTTTGTGTAAAACATAAATATAAAACAAACATTCTCATATATTGTTTATGGATACAAATGAAGTGAAATTTAAAACAAAGGAAGAAGATGTGCATCAATTTCAGGGTCTTTAGATATGTCTGACTAAGGAGAGAGGGGAATGGTATAGGGAAGGCTGTTTCAATTCTCTGGAATATCTTCTTTCTTTGAAAACAAATTTGAAAAGAACAGGGCAAAATGTTCACATCTGTTAAATCTGTGGATGGTGGTTACATATGTGTTTATTATCCTCTGTATGCTTGAGATATTTCAACATTAAACATGTATAAGCTCAAAATATTGAAACAATGATTTAAAAAAAAAAAAAGCAGAGACTCATCAACTTAACCAGTCTGAGGTAGTCTGTCACAAGGTTGTAAAAAATCAAGTCAGAATCTAACTACAAATCACACTTCACTTCAGACAGCTTCCCAGAGCGGACTGTCTGCTTCCCTTGAACACGAGACACAGCTCTAGAGAGAATATGGGAAACAAAGGGGCTCTGTCAGAACTGCAAGCTGAGTGAAGAATCCAAATTGCATCTCGAAGCAGGAGGGCTTCACTGAGGCATGACACATCCTTCTGACTCGTTGAGGAAATGACCTCTGTTGAGAAAACTGGCTGACTGGCTGTTTGAAACCACTGACTAACATGAGGTACAAAACAACACTGTTTTTGTATTATTAAAAGGCATGACATAGTTGAATGCCTCTTGCAGACCGAGCAGTTAGAATAAACTGTTCAGTGGCCAGCAGTGGCAATTTTCATTTTAAGCTATACTTATGAAGTAACAGTTGTGTAGGTCTTATTACATTTACTGGACAAATTAAAATACGAGAATGGCACCTGACACTGCCATGTGCCTACCAAGTTTATATCTGACAATTCCAAAATTGAGATAACCCTGCCCTCTGTTCCACATAGTCCTTTACTTAAAATAAAGGCTACCTTTATAAGTAAATAAGTATCTGTCTATTTTAGGTTGAATCTGCGGGGGGCAACTTGCGACTTTTGTTTTAGAGTTGTATTTACATTATCAGTCAAATGCAATCATCTCCAATAGATTGTGACTTATTACATAATATATTTGATTAAAAGAAGAGTCAGATTTCACTTGTTTTTGCAATTCCCTCTTTCCTGACACAAGTGAAAAGTTGGGGAGCAAGACTGCTCCAATGAGGCACCTTAACTGGCTCAGCTTCACTAGATGTGGAAGGAGATGTGGACCTTGACTGGATGTTAACCTTGACGTTCGGATTCCGTACATATGTGTTCTCAACAGGATCAGTCTAGGAAGATAAGTCGGGAAAAACAAAAACCCAAGAAATCACTTTCAAACAATGTGCAGCTCTTAGCAAATTTCTGTAAGGCATAATCATGATAACATTTCTTGAGAAGAGGAAAACAAACTTCAGTTTGAATATTCACCTTCGGGATGTGTCATCACACAAAAGCATAACCGCTAGCTTTAATGTAAACAAAGATAAAGACAACAGTTAACAAAATGCTCCCATCTTCACTGCCGGTCTCTGACTTTGAGCACTGGTCTCTAATACATGTTCTTGACTTGTATTCCACAAACGAAATCATACGTGTGAATTAAGTGCAGAGTACTTAACAGAGTATGTGCTGCAGATTAGAGATAATTCTGTCCTTCATAAGAAGGAAATTTGGTCATCTACCAGGCATTACTTGAAAGTAAAAGAAACTAATTTATCAGTTTTGTGTTGGTTGAGGGTAACACCACTTTTTTATTCTGCAGCAGTAGAAATACCAGCACTTATATTCAGTTGTGCCCTTTTAACCAAGTATTTTTAGAAACTCAAAATGCTTGGGGTTAAAACTTAGCATTAAAGATCTTATGGAGCATACCAATCGATGATATATTCAGTTTGGCAATTTTCAAAATTACCAGGATTGCATTTTTGAAATGAAGGGCAATGAAAGCAATTTTGAAAAGAGGTTGGGGAATTTGTTTCAACTGTATTGTACAGCAAGAACAATGCTTAGATCAGAAACTACAATTCAATAAAATGAACAGTCAGCTTAAGGATTTTAAATAGGTACTTAAAATATTTTTTTTCTTTTCCTTTACTATATTATGGTTACTCTTTTAGGGACAGGCTAGTGAGCTGGCTAACCCTGCAGGAGTCCTCTGCTGGGCACAGGCAGGTTTTCTGGCAAACCACAAGGCAAGACTTTGGTGGGGATGACTCACATGGCTCCCAACCAGGCCTTAAACCTTTAGTTACTGCGCTCAGGGGACGTGGGGAGAAGAAGGGTCTCCGGGAGGGCATCTAAGGAACTTGGAGCAGCAGCTATGTACCATCAGCTAGGAAGGTATTTCAATA